TTATACTAGTTTTTGGAAAATTCGAAATTTCTGTAAAATCAAAGTGGGGTGTTACATATCATTATCCACATTATATTCATGTCATCAATTTTGCAATGCTCCACGCAAGACAAACAATAGATCAAATACAAAAATCACCATCTCCTCGATTTAAAACATGCTCGAGCAATGACATGTTTAAGAATTTTGAATAATCAATTTTAACAAAATTCACACTTTCGCTTGAAAATCCAAATCAGAGGCTCCAGATATATCAAGATATCTAATCATATAATTTTAATCCACCTCCTCAAGCTCATCGATAAGTGCACCAAAAACACGATAAACACAATCCCAAAATATCTTCATTTCAAAATCAAGACCTGCATTATTTGCAATCAAATGTATCAACGAACAAATCCAATGTATTCACGCTCAGATTGAATATATCCACAATCAAATCAAATAATTCCTCGATCAAATCAAGTAATCCTCGACGAATAAATCAAGTATTATCACGCACAAATCAAATAATCTCTCGAAAAATCAAATAATAACTTCTCGAATAAATCAAATAATTGCTTCAAATAAGTCAAATGATTTCCACGGACAAATCGCATAATCCTCACGAATTAATCAAATGAGCTCCATGATAGATCAAATAATACTCCACAAATAACTCCGATACGGTCCATGATAAATCAAATAATCTTGCACAAATAAATTGAGTATATCCACAAATAAATAAAATGATGTGTCCACAAACAAGTCAAATATCTTCACGAACAAATCTAATAAATCCCCGAATAAACCACGTACTCCACGGGTGAATCATATAATCGCCATGAGCAAAATTAAATATCTCCACGAGCAAATCCGATAATCACTCGATCTAATCAAGTATCATCACGAACTAATCAAATAAATCCAATAATCGCTCGAGCAAATCAAATATATCCACGCATAAATACATAATCCAAAACGGGCAAATTAAATAATCCTCCATGCATAATTTAAATATTCTCACGTTCGAGTCAAATATTACTACAAACATATCAAATAATTTCATGACTAAATCAAGTATCTCCTCGAATAAGTTAAATGTCTCCTCAAACAAATCGAACAATTCCACGAACAAATCAAATATTTCCATGAACATATCAAATAGTCTCATCGAATAAATCACATAATTCCTCAAACCAATCAAATAATTCTCCTCAAATATATCAACTAATGCCTCCTCGAACAAATCAAACAATATCCACGAATAAAGCACATAATACTCCACCAATAAATCAAGTAGGCTCCTCGGATAAATCAAATAATTTTGCACGAATAAATCAAATATCATCTCCTCGACCAAATCAAATAATATCCACGAACGAGTCAAATAGTTTTGACGAATATATCAAATAGCCTCATCGAATAAATCACATAATTCCTCAAACAAATCAA